GAGCAGAGATGAGGGACATCCAAGTTCACACTAGAAGGATCAGATAGGGCTTTATGGAGGAAAAGATTCCAAGTCTTCAAAGATTTCTAGTAGGAATTTAGATGCCTTCTCTGGCATCAAGGACTTCCTTAATTGGTCCCCTATAACTCCCCAGCCACATCTCCCATTACTCCCAACATAACCCACCTACCCACTCCTTTTGGACTGGTGTTACATATCCTTGAAAAATCCACTTGTTATCCTATCTCTGATTCCTCTTCTTATATGGCATTCTCTACTAGGCATCCTCCCCCTGGAAAAAACTGAACCCTTCTCTCTGCCTGGTAAAGCATATTCTCATCTCCTCATGAAATCTTACCTGACTTTGACGTAGTCATATTCTTTCCTATTACACATAAAAGCATTTCAAACAGACACATTCAGAGAGACACTAGCACTATTTTGTCATATTTTTTAGTGGTTTGTTGTGTTTTTCTTATGATGCCAAAAAAAGTAAGTACCTTGAGGAAAAAAAAATTCATAAATTTATTTATTCCACAAAACCTAGGAAAGTGTCAACCAAAGCAAAATATAAATGGTCAAAAATACTTTCTAAATTAAATTATTTTGCCAGTGCCTTCTTTGGTTTATCTGATGTGCAATAAATCCACTTTATGAAATTTTAAAAGTTCAAATAACCAGAGGAGAAAACACTAACTTCTGTCAGTTAATTTACTAACTGAAAGTCTGTAGTACTATATTTGAAATAAACTAGCTTGGTAAAATTTGTGAATGTGAAAAAAATGTGAACCATGGAATAAATTATACATTTGGTTTATAAGAAGGCTGTGAATGAGGTTCTTGTACTTAGTAAGCAGTAAGAAAGCGATATATTGTTCAGAGAGGGAATGTATTTAGAGTACAAGTTTGAAAATGAAATGAGAATAATTGAATAGCCTTTTTTGTAAGGAAGTAAAATATACACAGCAGTCAAGTAAATGATGAGGATTATGCTTGTGTGTTCAAGCACACACACACATGTATTTTAAGTGTGAATAAGATAGCAGAAATAGCAGTTGGGGAAACGAACTTTTCATAATGATTAGACACTTTAACTTCAGCACTCTTCTTATTTCTTCTGTCTTATCTATTTCCCTCCCACTATTATTTCTCATGCTATTCCTCTAATTAATCTCTTCTCTCTAGTTTTCTACACTCACTCCTTTCTAACAAACAGAAACTCCACATACTTTACACATACACACACACACACACACACACACACACACACACACACAATTGTTTCCTGCATTTTGTGTTCAAAGCATAAAAACAGTTATCTATAGGGCCCCTGAAATCAACATTAATTTACTAGACTAGTGAGTGGTTTTGAAACTTTTGCTCTTGAACCCCTAAAATAATTTTGATATAAAAAAATAGACTTTGTGCCAGTTATCAAATAAAGTTAGAGCCTCTCACCTCTAAATCCATCTTCTTTGCCTGCTCTGCTAAAATGGGGCTGGGCCCTTTAAAGATTTTTTCTTTATCAGCCAGCATGATGTTTATCTTTGCCAGCTGAGGACACAGGAGACAGAATGCAGGAGGAAAAGGTTTTTCCTTTCTGGTTACAGGATGCTTACTTAACAAGCTCCTCCAGTGCTTGCAGCATCTTTCACATCCAGATCCCACAGCCTGTGCAGTTTTTCCACGCCAGGCTTTTGCAGTGTGTGCAGCTTCTCTAGTGCCGGGCTCCTGTTATGTAACTGGATTCTCCTGCACCCATCTACTCCCGTGTATGCAGCTCTTCCAGCACCCAACTCCTGCAGAGCACATAGCTCCTTCTGCATCCAGCTTAGGTAGCAGAGTCTGCTTCCACGCTGCATGCATGGCTTCCTCAGTGCCAGGTGCTGCTCTCTGTGCACAGCGATGAACAGCACCCAGAGGCCAGCAGCTTCCCCTGGCACTCCACTCAGATGGTTTGGTAGTGAAGTGCCTCCACTGAGACGCCCTGCAAACAGCTTTCCACAGCATCCCAGAGGGAAATTTCCAGCAAATTTCAGATTTCAGAAAACCTCCAGCAAGTTACACCATCATGACACTGTACCAACTTCTCTGCCGTTTAGTGGCTACAGCCATGCCCTCTCCAACAAGGTGTAGCCCTCAGTCTTGTGTGTGCATAGGGATGCAGGGGATTCCTTGGGCTGTCTATCTCAGTCCCAGGAGTCATGATTGTTTCTTATATCTGCGATTCCTGTATTCTTTAGAATTTCTCTTCATTTCTTACTACCCAAACCCTTGTTACCACAATCTTCTCTTACAGTTCATAATTCTGTCAATTAAACTTTACTGTTCAAAATACTGTATATTCTGTGTCATGACTGGGTGCTGACACATGCTTCCTCATATATTTTAAATTAAGTTAAAACTTCTTACCAGGATTTTTTTTTAATTGCAAAAGATTAATTTTCTGGTGTTTTGTGTATTTTATACATACTTAAAATGTGTATTTGTTAAAACCTTAGAGCTACATATTTAGATCACTTAGCAGATAAGTGAATCCACCATATTATTTACAAAGCCAGTCCTCACTGTCAAATTAATCAACCAAATCAGATGTATTCTGTGTCCAAAAAAAAGACTTTCATTTATTTCTTTTTTTTTCATTTGAATAAAGATGTGAATACATGTTCTTATGGCAACCCTCTCACTTAAGTAGGCTAGTAAAAAATAAATGGACAGACAGCAGATGGAGAGACAGACAAGCAGACAGGCAGGGAGGTGGACTGCACTGTGCCAGGAGCCTTGCCAAGGTGAAATACTATTTCACTATTTTTTACCAACACATTTTTACCTTGCTTTCAATGAGTCTCTCTAAAGTAATGCATTCACAAACTTTCATTTTGTTTGATGCCCTGGAGACTGTACCCCAGGGACATACACAGTAAGATTTGGGCTAGGTGAAAGCTATGTCATCTTTTCTGAAGTGGAAGAAGGGTGGTCATGATAGAGGAGATGGGGAGGAAGACGCAGCCAACCACAGACTCTCAGACATATCAGTTTCAGGAAAATGCACATACAGAAATTGGCACTAGACCAATGAGCTACTCTACTACATTCTCCAGTGAAGGTTACAGCAAGGAATTTTTTCCCAAAATAGACAAGAAAACAAGTTAAAAAAAAGCAAACAATTAAAAAAAGAAAAAAAAGTAGAATAAAAGTATTAAACCACATTTCTTATAAATGTGGAAAATAAAAGCTCTCCTTGTAAGTACAGAAGTAGACGAAATAGAGGCAATATCACATCAAATGTGAAACCTGACTCCCACTAGCACCTATGTTTGGATAAGGGTCTTGCTTTTAGGATTTGTGACTCAAAAATTTCACATGGGTTAAATCCTTCATTTACAGTGGTTCTGTTTCTTATTTAAAACAGTAAGTTTTCCTTAGATCCCATTCTTCAGTGAATCACATGATAAAGAAGGAGATGGAGAATCTGAAGCAAAAAGTAAAGGGGATGCGGCCAATTTCTACCATTTGGGATATTAACAAGTTTAACATGGCTCAGCAACTATCTTAAGTGTTATATCGTAACTATTTTAGCTTATGCCATAACTATTATGGCATAAGCTAAAGGTGTTGAAATATTATATAAGGAATGTGTTTTCTGAGAGGAAATGGGTGACAATTTGAAGGGTCGGTTTTTTAACAGGAGGAATACATAAGAATTCAGAACAGATTCTCAACCCATGCTAATGTTCAATAATGTTTGCGCAATGTAAGAAAAGTTTTAAATCTTTTTTTTTTAACTTCAAGGAAACTACTGTTTCCTGTTATTTCTAGAAAATCGGTAAATGCTGGTGTTTTAAGAAAAGAACATTTATGAAGAGATATTAAGTGTGTTTTAACTACAAGTATCAGGTCCTCATTTATTTCCCCTAAGAAACTCTGTAATTCTGTTTTAAATAAATGGCATTTCCTTTTTTTTTTGAGACAGAGTCTTACTCTGTCGCCCAGGCTTGAGTGTAATGGCGTGGTCTTGGCTCACTGCAACCTCCACCTCCCAGGTTCAAGTGATTCTCATGCCTCAGCCTCCGGAGTAGCTGGGACTACAAGCGCACACCACTATGTCTGGCTAATTTTTGTATTTTTAGTAGAGAAAGGAGTTTCACCATGTTGGCCAGGCTAATCTCGAACTCCTGACCTCAAGTGATGTACCCACCTTGACCTCCCAAAGTGCTGGGATTACAGTCCTAGGCCACCACACCCAGCCAATGACATGTACTCCCAATAAAGGTCTCTGCCTTCTTATTCCCCCAAATCAGCAACCCATGGGAAGTATAGGACTTCTGGAATTTTCTCCACCTAGATAAATAAATTTCTGGTAAAGATTTTCCTTTCTTGAATAAGATCCATAATCTCCAGAATACACTATCTGAATGAACTATTTCAGTCAGAAAGTCCAATGTGCTGCCTATTTTATGGCAAACTGTTGGAATCTTTAAAATAAAGATTCTGAATCTATGCAAAAACTTTTAACCTTATATTACATTTTGCTTACCTACATAAAGTTACGTTCCCATATTACATTCAATACAGGTACTTCCCTTCATTGCAAAAGTATAATCTACTTGGTTGAAATTATTCAATGTGAAGGATATACATGAAGAACTTTCATTATGTTCCAAAAAATATTTAAGGCCATCATTTGAAGATTTAAAAAATCAGTAACTGCATAAACATTTCTATGCTTGCCAAAATCTCTTTCATAGCTCTGCTAAGCACCACGGTTATTGACATGAACACGTTAATGTTGGGTATTTTAAAGATCCAAGTAGTGTAAAATCAGCCAGTCTGTCACACTGGTAATTTATCATGTAATCAATAATCACTTTTGTTTTGTGGGGGGCAAATGGAAATAGAAAACAAACAGAAGAAAATTCAGCAATGTAAGATGAACGAGCAATAACTAGTTTGTTGCCATCTGTGATATAGCCATACCTACAAGTTTTCAACATACTTACTTAAACAACGGAGCTCCACAAACGACACATTTATATATTCCAGGATCTTTGTGATGTGTGTATTCTCCTTCGAAGGCACTGATAAATAATAAACAGATCATTTAAAAAATAAAAATTAACACTATTTCTTACAGAATGTATTTGCTTAAAATATATTTCTCTAATAAATCTTTCAAGGGCTTTTTGTCCTAAAATGAGAACAAACCAAACATATGGAAATCTGAACTTTACTAATATATTTCAAATCTATATAATAAAATGTACATATAACCACTCCAAACTAGTGCCATTTACATAAATATATATATATCAAGCCATCTAATTATGTAATGCTTAGAAAAAGATTTTGTTTCTATTAAAAAAAAAAAAAAAAAAAAAAGCCTGTAGTTTAGATTCACAGAAAGACCATTACATAAGATTTTGCTACTTTACAGTGTGCAAGAGTAGATATCAGAAAATGCAGATGGGTCCAAGACTTCAAGTGGAAAGAGTCTTATTTTTTGGTTTGAAAAAGAATATTGCAGCTTTAAGGGAATATTTTTCTAAGTTAACAATCTTAAAGGCTAGGAGGTCATTCAGCTAATACAAATCAGCTGTGCTAGCCCAACAAAAAGTCTATGTGCTCTGCAGCTTGTTTTTATTATCCTTTCACCCTCTTTATGAGGTCCAATTTTTTTATAAACAGAATTTTTAAGAATGACCTAATCTCTGGTTGTTTGTGTGCATTAAATCATTTTGCTAGTCATGTACACAACAAAACGGATAGAATCCTCACAAGCTGAGACTGAAGTCCACTGCTAGCTCATTGTATGCTAAGGATGGACTTCGTCAGAGATTCAGCATTTGGTAAATTCAGTAAACAGCAGATACTGTGACAGGAAGAGAGTGTTGCCTATTAACGGGGATCCCATGTGTAGCAGAGAGCTCTTTCAGTTCATGAATGAAAACAAGAAGTTACATCATTAATAAATTTGGATCAGAAGTAAGCTACGGTCTTACGCCAAGCTCCATGGTCTAAATTAGACAACAAAGTCGTTGGACCTTGGCAAGTTACCTTTGAGCTGAAATCAGCTGAGAGAGACTTTATTCACTAAAAACAGTCTTGGAAGTGAACAAACTCTTTTTTTCAGGACTTAGGGCGAACTTCCAAAGACCAAAGCCATGTGAGGGCAGTTATTGAAAATTTTTGACATTCCAACCACAAATGAGCCAATAAATACTTTCTCCACATGTGCTTCAAAAAGAAATTGGAGTGGGGTAGAAAAGAACTAAATTATGCTACCTTCTTTTTGCAGCCAAAACGTCTATACTTACAATGGCCACCTTCAAAATTTCAGCATCCTGGCATAGTGCCAAGTCCCTCATGGTTTTGCTTACTGTGATGTCTTCCCAAAAAATGTACCTAAATCGCTATTACTTCCACACATTTTGTAGTAAACTAAAAACAGACCCTTAACAAAAGCTTTGTGACTTTACATCAGATATGGAGTGTTCATTAAATGGAGAAAAAAAACAAGTAAAACTCAGTCTTAACCTAAACAATACCGTTTCAACCTTTACTAATTTGTAGACTTTAGCAAGTAAGTATAAAATTCTCTAAATTAATTGGCAAGGAAGAGGATTGCAGGGGACAGGAGGAGAAGAAATCTAGCTCTTACTTAATGACTTTTTATTAAAGCTTAGCTTACCTTTCGGTCCCATTCTCCTGAGTGACATGGTACTGCAGGGGTGTTAGCCGCTTCCTCAGTTCCTGCTGGGAAAAGACCACCTTACAGTTCTTTTTATCCCTACGTGACCCTGAAAAGAGAGAGGATATGGGAGAAGAAGGCTTTTTAGCTTGAATCCTAAATAATTGCTTTGGCTGGCCGCCACAGCACAGCTTCTGCAGTCAATTGTCAATGACCAGACCAGTCTCTAATGCACTGGAAATGCTTACCTGAACTGCAGTTCGTTATTTCTCTAAGTTTAAAAAGAATGTTTCTTAAAATTCAGATGATTCCACTGAAGCAGTGACAATATGCTATTGCCAAAGTCTCTAGCATGTGATACTAAAAAGTCACTGATCGTTCACAAAATACATCCTTTCTATCTCTCAGTATCTTGAAAACCTTTTTTTTTCAAATAGATTCAAAAACATAAGTCTATTTACAAGCATTTACACTGTATATATAAAATGGTGGGCATATTAAGTCAAACCATAAGTCTGCAATATTTTGCAACTTAGTAGAATAGCCTAAAACCATTCAAATTCAATTTCCATTCTGGATGATTTAACTACTATCCTATGTTTTGAACCCTAAAATATATATTTTTCTATGACCAGGAATTGCTGTTCTCCATTCCATCAGAAACTTCACTAGATTCTGTATACATAACTCTCTCTTTAAAGACGGTATCGTACCATGTGATATGGGCAGCAAGAAACTTTCAACAACTACAGGAGAAGGTACTTTCACTAATGTAGATTCAAGAAGTTTCAAAGAAAGTGATAAAAATTGAAAGGGAGAAAGACAAAGAAAAAAGAAAAAGTGAATATGATTTTTAGAAAGCTACATTTTCTTTTTGCAAAGTATATGTAGGAAGACTTCACTGATTAAGTGTATTTGAATAGTGAAATAATTCTAATGTGATTCTAATAACAATGGCAGCTTTTATTTCAACCTATACAGCCTGCAGTAAAATGTTCAGACAACACCTGTTTATATGCAGTATTTTATTTTACCTGAGCAAATGACTGAAAAGAAATATAACTCCAGGACAGGGCAGCCATTACTCACTGCAGTAAAATTGCTTTTCTTTGCCATCCATCACAGTGGGAAAGAAGCCTGCAGATGGTCCTAAATGTAAAGAGTTCTTGCCATGTTTTGGAGTTACTAGAAGAAAGCTTGCTTAGTTTCCTAAATATTAAATTCAACTCCTTTTGAAATATGAAGAAATTCAATTTAGGAGTGGAAATGCTTCCCACTTTTTTTACTTTCAAAGTACCTAATGTCATAGCATGAGATCACTGACCTTAAACTAGGAAAACATTATCTAGCCAGTTACCCTGACTGTGGGGTTGAAAAAGGATATCAGCTTGCAGAATCAGGGCCCCCAAGATAGAGTGGCTGATTCTCCACAAGTGAAAATGGAGGCAGCAAAAGAGCAAGCCAGAGCCAAACAGCAAGATACACCTTGGAATGGTCCTGCAGGTTGTCAGACAGCACCTCTGCTGACCTTCCACAAATACTTCAGCCCTTCCACGGCCTGGAAAAATCCACAGGCACAGCTGGCACGTCACTAACAGCATGTTGATCTCTCATCTCACCGGACCCCATCTTACCCTAGGCTTTATCCAAATACCTACAACTTGTATTTTTGCTGTTGTTGACGGGTTGGGTAGAAATGTTTCCCTGAGAAATGTTTGTCCTGTCAGAACAAGCCTCTCAATAGCTTGAATGCAGAGTGGCTCTTAAATAATCAGACCACAGTGATAGGTGAGTTTCTGTTCAATTCAGTACAGACTTCTTAAAAATTGTTTTATTTTCATTTATTTGTTGGAAGGGTTGTCTCTTAGTTAACAATGTCACAAAATCATTAATTGCAAATATAACATGAAAAAACAACTTGGTTAAAACTGTTCTTTCCAATGGCATAATTAAAATATTTACAATTAAAATCAAACAATTCTATCCAAAATATTTTTGTTAATATATGTTCATTCATACAAAAAGACCAATTGTGTTCCCAAAGTTGAGAGAACTAAGCTACCCATCTGTATGTCATTTAGTACAAGAGAAGCAACTGCAGGTTTAAATTACATGGTATTGGATTGCAATTTCCTAACATTGGATGCTTTTCTGCTTTTTTACCTTGAGTCATTTACTAAGGAGTGTTCATAAAAAGTAGCTTAAAGCACAGATGCTTGCAAATCGTTTAGGCAAAGATGTTTCTCTCTTTTAAATTCTCCCTGTCTCATGAATCTCTCTTTTCTGAAGAAAGAGAATAAAACTGTTGGTCAGTATTGATGAACCATGTCAAGTATTTGTACAAGAAAAAAAGGTAAAATTGAAAACATCTGATTGAAGTAAATAATACAAACATAAAAGCTTTACTAGTGAATGAAGGGTATTGAAGAGACTTTATTTCATAGATTAGAAATTACTTTTGATCTAAACATTCTTAAAAAACAGATTGTTTTCCACTATGAAACATCTCATTAACTGTGCTACAGAGACCTCGTTTTAATGGCAAGCCTTGAAAGAGTGCTGCTGTACTCCTTTGTTAGTCTCCGTCTTATTTGGGAAGGGAATAAAGATTTCATTCCAGCTTTCTTTGTTTGTCTTTCAAGAACCGCTAAAGCAGTATTCACACAAAATTTGTAGGAATGTGCCCTATGTCATAGCCTACAAATTATTTGGTTTTGGTGCACTTAAAGGTCATCTTCCAAATTAGCAAAATTTTTCTACATCCTGGCTTTTCAACCTTAAATATAAATATTGTTTCCTAACTGTAAGTGAGGTTTGTCCTTTAAGAAATAACTAGTGATTATTTAAAGTTGTCAAGCTTTGTACATTTTCATTCTTTGGTTATACTATATTCTCAAAATAATTAGGTTTTTAAAGTATGTTGTACTGAAAGGAAATATATGTAGACTAGAAACAACTATTGTGACTTTACATTAAACAATGAGAAGTTAGTCAGGTTTTAATAAATGTCTTGCTACACCATTTAATAATGTATTTCCTAGACAATTGAAAGCTGTAATATTACATTAGCTCTTCTATCATCAGAACCAAATATTGGCATATATAAACACAGAAAAGCTTCACTTTGTCTCTGATTTCCTTTTTTCCTATCAGACTCACTTTTCTAAAGTCATATGGTGCCACTGTTAATCTTGAAAAAATCATTTTATTTTGAAATTCTAGAGTAATTCACTGGACGGTTTCCCTTTACTATCTTCACTTAGGTACTGTAATTTTCTTATTACACAGGGTAATTTAACATTAGTATTACATGACATCTGTTCCATGACCTCTAAATTGGCTTAGAAGTATGTTTGGGAAAGATTTTTCCTTTTATTTAAATGTGTAATAGTGTCTTTTGAAGGCACAGTGAGTATGTGTTTACACATGTAACACAAGTACATATTTCAGGAGATAATACTGCCATTTGGGTATCTAATCATAACACCATTCCTACAGAGTAACATTGGGAGATATCAGAACCATCTTGAACCCAGTCCAAGTGTATTTTATTTATTGAAATATGCCCAAAGTCTCTTTTTATATCGAGTCTTGTCCTGTGTTGTTGCCTCAAGGCCAGTATTGTTTCAAAGCCCCAATATGAAGCACCTGCTTTTAGTACAAGTAAACGTACAGCAAGAGTTTGCTTTCTGGCTCTGCCTGCTTCCCAGCTACGTGACCTGAAACAAGTCAGCTTCGCTATGTATTGCCATCCTCACAGATCTCCTGTGAGGATCATAGCCATTAACACTTACTTCATTTTGATTACAGTTAATTCTCAGGTTAAAATTGTCTTTTAAAAGATAGCCAGATCCAGTATTTCACTGTGCTGCAATCTTTTATTGGTAATTCTTTTTCTGTAATATTTCCCTGGGAACAGTATTTTCCTCACACTTTGTCTTTTCTTTTTTTTTTTTTTTTTTCCAAATGGTTAAAGTGGGAAGTGAAGGAAGAAAATAAAACTAAAATTTGAGTCCTCCTACATGCCAGGCACATGTCTAGGCACTTTCACATAAATACATGTAATCCTCTCAATAATTCTAGAAGGTGGCTGTCATGCCTGTTTTAAAGATACAGAAACTGAGGTTTGGTGAGGTTATAACATACCTTTCTAAGGACAAACAGCAAGTAGACATATCAATTCAAACCCAGGGCTGTCTGACTGCCCTAGTAATATTTTCTTTCCTCTAGTCATATACTTTCTTTTTCCTTTTTTTTTTTTTTGAGACAGAGTCTCGCTCTGTCACCCAGGCTGGAGTCCAGTGGTGTGAACTCAGCTCACTGCAACCCCCGCTTTTCACGTAATTCTCCTGTCTCAGCCTTCGCCTCCAGAATAGCTGGGATTACAGGCACCCACCGCCACACCCAGCTAATTTTTGTATTTTTGGTAGGGACAGGTTTTGGCCAGGTTGGTCTCCAACTCCTGACCTCAGGTGGTCCGCCCGCCTCAGCCTCCCAAAGTGCTGGGAGTACAGGCGTGAGCCACCACACGCCCAGCCAGTCATCATATTTTCGATCAGGAAAAAATACGTTAAAACTTCCTTCTTTCTTCTCTAACTGTACAACAGCTTTCAGCTTAAAAACTAACAAAACAATAAGGGGAAAAAGCAATAATCACCTCAGTACATCAGAAAAGTTACATACATTTATCTACTAGCTAATGTCTCTTTTCCCTGTTATTTACTCCTTCAACATAGGGTCAGTGACAGGTTTCATATGGGATTCTCACAAAGTCTATAAAACACTGAAAGGCTGTTGAACTTCCTGTTAAGAAGTAAATTAGATCTGTTACCTAAATCTTACAGTACTTTTAAGCCATAAATTTTATATTTTGGTGTGAAAAATCGAAACAAAACAAAACCTAAGGATCCCATAACTTTAATTTTGGTTCTTGGATCAGAAAAAATGAAACTATTAAATATTTTCCCAAGATAATAAATGAATAAGAGATAAGAATATCTTGTTTTGCTTTGAGTTTAGCAGGCTAAAACAGTAAAGTTCATGTTGAAATGTCTTCCTGCTATAATTAAAGGTGATATACTTTACTTTTCACTGTAAATTTGGCTGCTT